ACGGAATGCCACTCTGTTCCAGACACTGCAACTCTGGGTTTTGCAATTTAGTACCATGAAGAGCAAAACTGTATCTCCACAAAAAGCGAATTCATTAGAAGTCCATGCACTGCTTCACTCTTCATTGTGGAATTTATTCGAAGTGGATTTTATTGTGCTGTCTTTGATTAACAGGTCCATTGCACTTCTACGCTGACATGCTGCTTAGATTGTTTGTACTGTAGAGCCTCTATACACAATTCCGTAAAACATTCTTTGGTGGAAGAAATCTAGATCACGATTCTTAGGATCAGTAAGGACTTCTAATCTGCCTTACAGTATGAACTAAGATCACTAGAATGTAACTTCTGCTTCTTAGATGAGGCCCCGATTGCGAAAGAACGTTCGGGTAATGGGGCATCAAGATGACTATGAATCGGCCAGGCTGACTCACGGTTTTAGATGACAAGAAGATTCAGCTACATATCGCTGGTAGGAAGAAGAGCCAGAAAAAAAACTCAAGAGACAGCACATCTCTGCTAACGCTAAAAGAAAATCCTGTTTTTATATTCAAATGATTATTAATTTCCTATCAGACCATTATTCTCTCGCGGATCGCACTGGCGATGGTATCCTTTCACTGAATCAAAGACCCGAAATCTGATCAAATTCGGCATCAAAATATCATCAACATGTCTTCGGACGCATAGCAAAGCCACACAGAAAGTTTCATTACAATCCATCTGCAGTGCACAAACCTCCTGGCAAACCAACAAACTGAGAAGCCAAACGACTGAACCATAAACAAACGAAAAACATAAACCCTCCCCTTCGGCAGAGGAATTAAAGAAGCCCTACCACTGCTTTAGCCCTTGTTAACGAGGCTCGGCAGATTACCCTCGGGTTTAGAATTACTTTATTTTGCCGAAGTGCTTGTCGGCTTCGGCGGTCATGGAACACCACTTGTCTCTCATTTTTTGCTATTTTCCTATGTTTATCTTTTATCTTTCAGTTTCTTTTTTTACCTATTTTGTAAATGAAAAGAATATGCACTTGATAATACGTGGATAAATGGCTGAATGTGGCTCGTAAACGTATCATTGCATATTTCATCTATATATTATCACTTATAAGCAATTCGTAACAAGCGTTTTCATCAATCTATCAATTATATCTTGACCTCGATGATAAAAAAAAAAAAAAAAAAAAAGTTCGAGTTTACTGCGTCTCTCTTTTTTAGGTTTTCCCTGATACAGTCCCTTTATTTCAGTCGTTGTGTGCTCTTGCTCGCTCCCTTTTGTATTTTTTTCCAGGTGGACAGTACTCACGGTCGCGTCCCAGAGTCCATTTTGATGTTTGCATTTTGTCATCGTACGAAAAGTCGTTTTATTATTATTATTATTATTATTATTATCGTATTCATGGTCCGTCAGTAGGTCATCATTAGCAAAGATTTTGAATAATCCTTATATATATTGTCTTCTCTCTATATACTTTAACTGATCAAATGCTTTTCCGAGGTCCACAATATATACATTCTTTTTAATGCATTTTTTTCTTTACTTTAGCTGCCTTTTCTATTAAAGAGCTCAACACCATAATCCCATTTCAAAGCTTTTCTTCATATTTGTGTATTCAAATTAATTTTATTAAAGTAAGTTTCTAGAAGTGCCTAATGAGGGTAGGTTAGAATCCCACTTTTACAGATATTCTGTTTGTTCCAGCCCGCATAATGACATTCTGTATTATGTTAGAATAAAATCTACATGTTTATTTACAATTATTAGATTTAGAATTATATCAGAAATTATTGAACTAGAGCATACAGGAGAAAAATAGAGGGTGGAAGAAAACCTCTGAGTAGCGTAAATTCTAGAAGCTTAAAATGGATGTCCACTTACTAAGCCTAGACATTTTATTTCACGAAAAATGAATTATGAAGTCATATCTGCTACTTTTTTAGCATCAGGCAATAACTATAGATAATATTATATTTTCGTTTTTCCATAGATTACCTTAGGAACTACTTTGCATCCAAAAGATTAGGGGAAATCTTTATTAATAACCAATTTTGGGCCTTTTTCTTTTTACTGATTTCACTTAGAAATGTCCTAGCAACATGCTTTACGTTTTTCAAAAAAAAAAATTATAATAAATAAAATAATAAATAAATAACTTTTTACGGTGAAATGTCTTAGCAACATGCTAATAGGCCAAGAGGCATTTAACAGATGACAGCATAGAACCCGCATTAAGGTACTTTTTCACTGGATATTTTTGTTCACGTAGAGATAGCCAAAGGCAATAAGTGCGACCAACAAAAGTAACCCAACAAAAGACAAGAACTAATTGCACAAGTCGGTATGTTGATAAATTAGGTTAGGCATAGTTACCGGTCGTGCAATACGAACGAAAAAGGTATAAACTCACTGATGGAATACAGACTTACAGAAGAATAGAAACAAACTATATATGCGATATATGTGACTACTATTCGTAAGTTATATGCTGGAATTACACT